CCCCCCCCCCCCCCACTGTCAGCTAACTCGATCACCCCCTTAACTCATAAAAAGACTTTTCTATTTATTACGTGAGTTGTGTCAAAGATTGTTGTTGGTGTCCATTCTGCGCGATGGTCAATCTGGATATTCGGAGTTGTGAGAAATTATTCCTTTATTCCATTCATGACAAGACAATGTGTTTTTCCAGATCGCATAGACTGTATTTGATGACATCTGAGATGGCACAGTTAATTTGGCAGTGAAAAAGAGAGTTCAAAATGGATTTGGAAACTATCCCGCAAATATCGTCGAAAGAAAAGATTTTAAATAAGGACGTCAACAAGTCCGAGGTCAAATTTCGGTGATATCTCGACAATAATCTCATGGAAATCAGACCTAATGGAAAATTTAGACTCATCCGGTCTTCAAAGTACAGTGCCACTTCGCCAGCGGGGATTTTCATTAGATAAATTGAATGAACGTTTTTCCTTTCCTTCCGTAAGGATAGAAGTGGCCGCTTCAATTGCCGTGATATAATCATTTGAATACACTCCTCATTGAATTTAGTTCTACCCTGTAACTTTGTCACTTGAGTAATAATTTTCTAAAGAAACAAGTTCGTGTTTCTGAGGTGAGTCAACTCCTCTAGGTTGCAATCAAGCCCAGCTGGCATAGGCACCGGTTCCCCCTTGGCCCCAGGCACGTCGTCATACAACATACGGAAAATAAAGGCTCCCTTGAAGCTCTTCAATGGAAGAGACCAGAAAAAAAAGTGGAGGGAAACAGTACGGGATGGGAGAAAGGAGAACACTGGCCCCAGAGGTATTATGCAAGCAACACCCCATCGAGAAAACTAATCCCTCTTGCTGGTAAGACGATCCTCGGAGAGTTGTCTCCATTTGGCTTCTTTCTTTGTTCTTCACGTTACTGGGTTTTATGTCACAACCCTAAACATGTCAACGATGAGGGGCTGATATTGGTGACTTCATGCGAGTTTATTAATTCTGTTCTGGGCAACTGATGAGTGATTTTGGAAATTTGAGGGGGGAGTTTGGAAGCCGTTTATCGTTGGGAGAATTGATTTCGAAATCTTGAAAGTTTGAGAGCAGTATCTTCCTGTGGAGAAATCTGGAGGTGGAAACTGAAGAAAATCCTGGTCATATTGAGACCTTGCATCTGTAGTTTACCATACGGTTGAAATAGCATTCAATTTCAAATTCTTATTCTGTTCCACTTTATCCGAAATCCGAGCGAGGTCGACTTGTGGCTCAGGAGCGAATGGAAATCAATGTGGTATACTTTCTCAAGGGTTTTTGGGTTGTATGCACAGTAAAACTGTAGTGCATGACATCCGACTTTGTCCCTGTTTCCCATTCGGATCTAACAAAAGTATAGAGGTCTTTGGTAATGCACATGTGCATAGTCAATGGATACCAAGAATGGGAAGGTGAAGGGAGAAAGCCGAAGTAATCAAAGATACCATGTATGTGCAGGACTTACTATTTTTGGGCGGTACGAGGGACGGGATGAGAACATGACATAGGAAGGGTGGAATACCCCAATCCTGTGTTAGTGATATCTGACAAGGAGTGTCAGGTGATGATGAAAAACGCATGAATTACCATTGAATTGAGCAGGACCCATTGATCAAATTTGTACAGAATGATATTCAGGAATGTGCAGTGGAGAAGCATTCATAGGTTTTGACAGAGTTCATGGCTTGAGTTATTCAAAGGACTAATATTTATGATCGTCATGACTAGAGTGATAAAACGAGACAACTTCGAAGAATTGATGCACACCATTTTGCAAATAATCACAAAATTGCTCAGCCTATCGAGTTTTCTAATTTAATGATTTCTCTTAAAATTATTCATTGCTAAGATAATTTAACGACCAACAATATGATTTTCACTAGGCTGGCGGTCCAGAGAATTATTCGATAAACATAGTTGATTAAATGGTTTAGAGACAAGGTCCGTTAACAAATTTCTCATAAATGTCTCTCTGCAAAGATATTCGCGAGAGAGAATGAATGTTTGTTCTGTTTATACCCCCTCTTAAATTACAAAATGAATAAATTCTACCTGTAGACAACAAAACTTGAATGACGATTGAAGGACAAACCCCCAGTATTTAACCACCTCAAATTTCATTTCGCTCATTCAATAGTTCTCCGGTTTAGTTCTACCAAAGATACATTCTTTCTGTCTGCTCTTAGGGCTGTTGATGCCCTGAAATTGGGAGACAGACAATTGGAAACGTTTTGGTGAAAACGGGAATTATAGAAACCCGGGAATGACTACATAGGCCACACTATACTTTAGGGTCATTCTGGAAGTGGATTCAGTTTTTATTGCTAGCAAGCATTAGTAGAAACATTCTCTCAATGTCTTTCTGCTTTTTTTTGGACAATTATTTAGAAATTACAGGGATATTTTGACTGCAGTTCGCCCTAAAACCTCTTGGCGATTTTGATGATCG